TAAGTTGGGTAAAAAGAAAAAAAAAAAAAAAAAAACAGCACTCAGCCACCCCTTCTTGTTGCAAGCAAGGGGAGCTGACACAGACCTTGAAGCCCCTGAAATTGCCAGAGGCCTGCAGAAAGCCCCTCACCCAAGTATGTAGGAAATGGAGGCCTTTCCCTCACAACCCTGACCTGTTTCAGAGTCCTAGCTTCCTTTTCCTCGATTCCCACTCTCTCCTAATGCCCCAATCTGGAACCCAGCTACTCAGAGAATTCCAGGTACATTTGGACATCAGCATTCACTGAGTGGCCAACCACCCAGCACTGCAGTCCACGTCCTGCCTCTGCTGTTCACTAACTGGTGACCTGGAGTCAATTAGTTCAGGTAGTTTACCTCTCTGTGCCTCAGTTTCCTCATCTCTTAATTGAGAATAATAATGGACATATCGCACGGGGCTGACGGGAGGCTCAGAGGCGAGTGTGCTGAGAACACCCGACAGCAGGTCGGCACTTAGACCATCAGACCAACGTTAGCTATGGCTGCAGTTGCTGTTGGTGGTGGTGTGAGGACGCTTCCTATCTTCCCCTGTACATTCTCCTTCTTCCTTCCTTGAGTCCTTGGCCCTGTCACAAACTCCCTTGCCAACTTGCATAATAATTTGCCCTTCCTCCTGTCATATTTACATCAAAAGTCACCCATTAGAGACATCAAAGCAGGAAGGAGGCATTTAATTTCTGAAGTTGTTCATTTTACTCTAGCCTTCCAAAATAAAAGTAGCACCCATCTGTCAGCGCGAGAGAGAGAAGATAAAAGATCTTTGAAAGTAAATATTTAGGTGCCACTCAGGAGGAAATGAAAATGGACTTGGTGCAGTTATCAAATTGAATTAGAAGATGGTGCTGTACAACCCCAAATCTGCCTCAAGTGAGAGAAAGAGTATGATCTTTTCAAGAATAAATGGATTTTTCCAATGAAGCTTATTCTGTGAAGCATATGCAGAGAAGTGGCGTCTGACTTGAAATTGCAGCCCCTCTTTTAGCTTCTCCTCCCGTCAGAGCCACAGTCCTCACACCAGTTTCTCATGGTTCAGTCCTGATTAACTGCGATGGCCAGACCATGGAATCCTGCCCCACAGAGATCCTTCTCCGCTTTACCCACTCTGCGTTCAAGGCGTGTACTCCCCAGGCAGCACCTGCCTCCTAACATTCTGCACAGTGTCCACATATCCAGGGAAACTCCTGAAGGCACATTCATGGGAAATAGCACAAACCTGCATGAGAATAGAGGGCTTGCTCTCCTGAGGTCTCTAACCCATACAGCACTTGTCAAAGTCACAGTTAAATCAGAAGCGCACAATCAATTCCTTCCTCTTCCGCGGGCTAATTTTAAAAGTGGCAAACACCGATTTCTGCACATGCCATTTAAACCAAGATATCAATAGTGTCAGTCCTCGGTTGATATGTTCTTCCTAAAGCCTTCACGTTTCTGAGACTAGCTGTGCAGCCCAGGTGCCTTCCCCTCACTCGACCAAGTGTCCCTCTGCAAGTGGAAGCATCACTCACCTCACTCATGTTGCCTCTAATTCAACAGCTCGGATCCCGCGCTCAGCACAGAGAGCACTGCTCAGAGGTTTCTGTTCCTCCGTCCTGCCTTTTCTCTTAAAAAGAGCTGCCGGATGGCATCATGCCTCCTGTGAGCCAATGAGATGCATTCACCTGTCTGAACGCCTGGCAGACATCTGAGAGCACAAGGGGCCACCTAGTGGAACAAAGGGGAAGGGCGTGTTAGGGCCCTGCTCCAAATTCTGCTGGGGAGAGAAGGAAATGCTAGATTTGTTCAAAGAAAAGTGAGAGATACATAGTTCATCACAAGGATGCCGCTGTGCATTTATTCAAGAGGTACGGGATTTGCGCACATGGAAGATGCATCTCAAATGTCAGTGGGGAGTAACTTTGCATTGCAGTCTGGGACCTCTCCTGGGTTCTCCAGGAACTGCCCTTTGCAGCACAAACCCCAGCCTATAGTCTAATATCTCTGCACCTTCTCCCATTCCAACTCCATGGCTGGAAGAACATAAGCAGACAGTGTCAGGACAGAAGGACATGGACTTGGAATTTTCTCTATTTCAACCACTTGTGAAGCTCCAGGCAGAATGTCTTTAGGGTTCCCCAGAAGGTAGAAATGTGAGGCAGTAGGAGGCTCAAGGTCAGGCACTAGGAGCCCAGTGTTATTCAATGTACAGCACACCAAGGAAAGCAAGCTTGTGTGCTGGCACAGCCTATAGTTTCCCAGGATAAAAACCACACACCCCACCGAGGAAGCCTGCCCTGTTGGGGACATGAGTGCCCAGGGCCTTGAGAAGGAGAAGGGGGCTTCCATCGGCAATCTACACAGGGTTCTGCGTATGGTAGGCTGTGCTCCAGTAGAGGGACACGAGAATCAGCCTGTGCTCTGCTAACTGGACCCTGGAATAGACCCAGATTCCCTAATATCATAATGACACGCAGGGTTCTACATGTGGTAGGCTGTGCTCCAGTAGAGGGACACAGAGAATCAGCCTGTGCTCTGCTAACTGGACCCTGGAATAGACCCAGATTCCCTAATATCATAATGACATGTGTAGGTTTGCAACAGCCTGCGGTTTGGAAAACAGCAAGCAGTTGCTGAGACTCCAGGATGACAGGCTGGAACTGGTGGTGCTAGACTAGACTATGGCTTTGCCGAGCAAAGTGTACATGTGTTTGGGACAACCAGTGGGTTATCAGGTCCACGAGGCAAACTCTGGGTGATTGTGGAGGCTGAATTGTGTTCCCTCTAAATTCACATGTTGAAGTTCTAGTCCTCAGTACCACGAAATGTGACTATATTTGGAGATGATCTTTACAGAGGTAATTAAGTTAAAATGAGGTCATTAAGGTGAACCCTAATCCAATAGGACTGCTGTCCTTATAAGAAAAGGAGATTAGGACACACAGAGAGATGACCATACGAAGACCAGGAAGAAGATGCCATCTGCAAGCCAAGGAGGCCTCAGGAAAAATGAGTTACAACCCTGCTACCACATTGACCTCAGACTTCTAGCCTTCAGGCTACAAGACAATACATTTCTGTTGTTAAAGCTGCATTGTCTGTTTTTGGTTTTTTTGTTTTGTTTTTGTTTTTGTTTTTCCTATGGCAGCCCTAGCAAACTCATGCAGATGACATGGCACTTAGAGAGACAATTCAAGGAAAGGATACAAACATAGTAAGGGGGGGGGGTTTTCAGTGTTTGCCACATGGCATGCATTTTAGCCCTATTCATTCCCCCAGGATGTCTTTAGTAAATAGTTATCTCCTAACAATGATTTGTAGGGTCATATATGCTTTAGAAAAGAAAGAATAAATGTCTACTTCAGCCACAAAGAGAGCTAAGCTGCCTTGAAAACTTAGTGTTTGCAAGTTACATTTGAGGAGTCTGATATGCACCTGCAGGATCCCATGTGTGCTGGCATGTGGCCTGAACACACCCTCATCACTCCTGACACACACATCTTCCCTGGACTGCAACCCTTAGTCCCATCACTTCTCTTGGGGAAGCAGTGCCCCAATAAGACCAGTCACCAGATCAAAGATTACATGACTCTGTGGACCTTGTTGAAGAATCCCCAGGAACAAGAACATTAAATGTGTGTTTTTTAGAGTTTTCCATGTAGCTCTCATAAGCAATCAAGTTTGAGAATCACAACTTAAAACACTGATAAGATACACACACAAGCATGCACAGGCACACACATACATAATCTTTTACTCACTCTTTTTTTTTTCTTTCCAGACTTTCCGCACTCCATCCTCCCACCCCCCACTCACTCCTCTTCTCTTAGTTCCTTTTAGGGTCTACTTGGCCTGGGTGTACTTTTATATACGTAAGTGATAGCTCATAAAAGATACACATCAATCTTATTCAAACCACTTCAATGCACCCCTTAATATGACTTTCTCAGATCAGCAACACTGTATTCATAGTAGATGGAGTCACGAGCCAGAAACTCAGAACTTGAATCTTTGACATGAGAAACAGTTTTCTGTATGACCTTGGCAAAGTCTCTCCATTTCTCAGTGTCTGGTTTCCACCACTGATAATATAGAAATATTAAAACCTTGCATCTGCCAACCTAAGCAAAAAATATATACATTAAATATATTAAGCCAGAAAATAAATTTTGAAGGAACTTCAAGAGAATTAGATCTACAGCTTCATAGATTAGATCTTGGGGAATTCTTCAGCCTTGCTGAATTAAAATTCAGACATGTGGTTCTATAATGTATGAAAAAAAATATATATATATATATATAATACAGACAGATTATTTTCATCTTCTTGGAAGCAGAACCCTGCCTGAAGGTGTAGAGTTGAACCAGGCAATCTTTGAGATTATTTATAGGGACACTACACATGGACGACCTAGGGCTTTTCATCAGACTTCTACAATAAATACATCACTTCTGTACAATTTAAGGGTGTGGGAACTTTTGAAAAGAATCCACCTCTTGCTTCACTTGCCCCACCTTTGCTGCTCTACCTCTCCTTGCTTTGTGGACCCAGTGCCCACCACGTGTAGGCACAGTACCATCCCCAATCTCTGCACCCCAGAGCCTTCGACACAGAGAATTTGGTCAACCTCCGATATTGGAGACCACATGGTCCACTCTTCATGGCTTGGTTCCCCCTCCTTTTTCTACCAGATTCCAAGGACAGTCCCTGGGTGTCTATTTGGCCCCCTAAGCCTCAGCATCCCCCACTCCAATGGAGAGACCCATGGGGCCCTGTCGTTGATCCCCCCGGCCTCTTTCCTGCTGCCTTACACTTTAATCCTTGCTACAGATTCTTATCTGCTGCCAACCCCACTGGATGGCATGTGGCCCAGAACCAGGGGCTACTTTGGCTTTGTCCACAAATGTACAAATACAGCATAATTCTATAAGTCTCTGCTGGAAGTATTTATTTCTATGATGCATTAATGTGTGCATATGTTTACTCAAGCCTGGTTTATCACCTTCTGGTCTTTAAGCCTCTTAAAAGAGGAAGAAACCAGACCACAGTACACTGCTCACTCCTTCATTGCCAGTGCCTGGCATGGTGCCTAGGACCCAGCGCTGCTTCCAAATAAATAAATACCCTAACAGTCACTAAGTGTGAATGTTACTGTAGGAAAACAGATCTTTTGTTGTATAAATTTAGATTCACTTTCAAAAACCAATATACAAAAATTTCTTCTTTTGAAAATGAGAAAAGTGACTATTTCAAAAATCTCTGTGCTGTCGAATTTTAATCCAGCTTTCTGAAATGCTAAAAAAATTTCTGGCAAAATGAGCCTGTTTTAAACCTAGATGACTGTGTAAAAGCTGATTAACAGAAGTATTAGGCTAAAACCTTCCGGGGTTTTATTAAATAATATTGCACAGCTGCCATTATGCCCCAATGGCTAACCACCCCCATCTCTTCTATGTGCTGTCTATGGGCCACGCTGAACTAGACACTGTATTATGGGCATGTGCACTTTATTATTACTCTAAGTTATTGAAAACATGGTATACTTAGGTGTGCTCTCTACCCTACCCCCTTCTATGTCTCTCTTTCACCTAAAATAATTTGTGTTTCATTCATTGTAACCTGCCACCTCACCCTGAAACTTAGTGTGGTCACTCCTTCAAAAGGCACCAATGAACAGGAGAAAAGAGCACAGTACAGGAGACAGATATGAACAGGTAAAATCTATCTGCCATGGGTTCCAGGACCTCTGTCTTACCTGATCTCTTAACTTCAAGTGCTGCAACCTTACCTGAAGCTGCTGCCATTCTTAAAATTTAAATTATCCCCTGTTTATGAATGAAAAGGTCATTTCATAATCTGCAGTCCCTCTCAGCCCAATTAAATGTCCAAGTCTGTCCTCCGGATAAGGACTTGTGGATTGCTCACAGAGCCAACCTGTCACTCTCTGCAGCCCCTCTCTTTGATGAAAAGGTCAGCGTGTGTTTGTATTCAGAGAGCTGCAGCTCTGCACTGAAGGCCACATCGTGGACCTGCTGACAGGACTTTCTGATTCTCAGCAGTCCTGATGGCTTTCAGAATTGTGCTTTGCTGAGTCCTTAATTATTTTCCCTGTCCCCACTTTCTACTCAGGTGAACTGTTCTTATTCACTCTCCAGAAATGGTTCCCAAAATTTCAGTTCAATGATTCTGCAGAGCCAGCTTGCTTGTCTGGTGCCTTGGATTAAATCCTGTTCCCTCAAAATTCATGTACTGAAACCTCAACCTGATTGTGTTATGAAATAAAGTTTTAAAGAGGTAATTAGGGTTCAATGAAATCACAAAGGTGGGGCCCTGACTCAGTAGGACTGATGTCCTTCTAAGAAGAGGATATTAGGACACAGACACACAGAGAAGGACAACTACGGGAAGAGAGGAGACAGGGACGAAACAGTCATCTACAAGCCAAGAATATGGGGCCTCAGAAAAAAAGCCAACCCTACTGAACTCTTGACCTCAGACTTTCAGTTCCGGAACTTTTAGAAAATAAATTTCCTTTGTTTAACTCCCCATCTGTGATATTCCATGTGGTAATGTCTGAGCTGACTAAGACATGAGACATAGCTAAGGTTAGTTTTTGTAGTGGAC